TAGCTTAAAAGTTAATAATAGTTTATAAATAATTTATTAATAATTTAAAAATAGTTCAGAAATAAATTTTATTTTATTTTATAATCTTTTTTATAGAATATTTATCTTATTTATTATTTATCTTTTCATATTATTTCATTATTTATATTATTTTTTAACTTATCATATATATATTATCTCTTTATTTTATTTGTTCATTTATAGTTTTTTTATTTTAAAACTTGTAATTATATATTAAAATAATAAATAAGCTATAAGTTAAGTTTAGATAAAATTTGTATAATCTTAAAAATATATAAATATCTCTATTCTCAAATATAAAATAAATATATTTGAATAGTAATAATTTATTAAAAATATTTTAATTTTATTTATCTTATAAATTATTCTTATATTTTTTATCTTAATATTCTATTTTCAATTATTTTTTTTATTATAATAGATTATATTCTGATTAATTATATATTTTTCTTGTCTGAAAAATATAAATAGTAAATATTCTTTATTTAAAATAAGTCAAGTATATTTATTTAATTTTAGAAAATTCTTATAAGCTTTTTCATATATAAAAATTTTATTTTATTTTTAATATATATTTTTTATTTATCTAATAGTTAAAAGATACTGTTAAAAAGTTAGTAAGTATACTAAATCTATAGTTTTAGTTTAATTATTTTAGTTTTAGATATCTATTTCTATATATTTTATAATCATATTTCTTATTAATTATTTTTATTTTTGTTTTATATTGATATAATACTTATAAGTATTAGTATTAAAATTAGAAAATCTTTAGAATAATTATAATTCTCTTTCTTTTTATAAATAATTCAGACTTAGCTCTCAAAACTTATTATAAACTATATTTCTAATAAAAATAATATCATAACTTGATTATAATTTTCTAATTAGATATTATAATTAATTATAATTTTCTAATTAATTATTATAAGTTATAATTAATTAAGATAACATCTTTGATTTCTGATAAAAACTATCTTAATAAATATAGTTTATAATATTATATTATTATTATAGTAATATAAATTTCTTTAATTTAATAATATTTTTTAGTTATATAAAACTCTTTTTTCTTTTACTTTATAATTTATTATATAATTTATATTATTTTTAACTAATTATCTTATTATTATTCTTTATATTTAATCTATAAATTTATAATTATCTTTTAAATATTATATTTATTCTATATTTAAGATTTACTTTTTTAATTATAAATATATTATATTAATATTAATATTTCATATATATAATAGATTAATTAGTTAATATAATTATAAATTTCTTTTTTTATATTTTATTCTTCTTAATATATAGTATTTTAATCTTAATTATATAAAAATCTTAATATTTTAGTTATAGTATTTTAATTATAAAAGATTATAATATGTATATTAGATAAAATTAATTATTAATACTTTAATTCTTTTTAAATTATATTAGTATATCTTAATAGAAGATATTTACTTAAATTAAGTCATATTTTTGATTTGATATTATACTTTTTAATTGATTATTTATGAATTATTATATTTTTTAGTTATATTTTTCTTTAATTAATAGTAACTTTACTTATAAATCTTTAGTCTTATTAATTAATAATAACTTTATTTATTAATTATTATAATTCTTTTGATTTATATTATTCTTTACTTTTATAATTTGCTTTTTGAAAATAATATCTATAAATATTAGTATAAATCTTAGAAATCTTTATCAGTATTGAAGTTATAATCTAATTTCTCTCTCTTTATTTATTATTTAATTTAGTCTTTTTCAACTTAATATTGTTAAAATGAATTCAAGTGAAAATCTACTTATCAAATTTATTATAATAATATTATATAAAAACTATTTGATAACTTGAAAAATATATAAAAAAGATAAATATCTTTAAAAAATTACATACTTGAATATAATTAAAATATTATATTTTAAGTAGAAATATATAATAATTTTGATTAGATTATCTTTTTTAGTCTTAGATTTTTATTTTACACTATTTATATAATAAATTAGCTTTTATATTACTTTTTTAAAGATTATTTTCATATTAAATATATAAATAATTATTTATATATTTAATTAATTAGATTTAATATATTATTATACAAATAATTATTCTATATATTTTTATATAATGTGTAACAAAAACTTAACTATATCAAATTTATTATAAATTTATAAATTTGATAATTAATATATCATTTAAAAATAAAAAAGTTATAGAATAAAATTGATAAGTCTTAAAAATTGATTTATTTATCTTTATTTTCAATAACTAATTTATAATAATATTTTATCAAATTTATTAAATTATTTAGAATAATTTTTGAAATAGAATCTTATTTTTTTATTAAAAATTTTTCTAAAATATCTAAAACTTTTAGACATTTATTTCTTAATATTACGCTTAATAATGATTTATAAATTTTCTATAGGATTAAAATTAGTTTAAATAGTTTAAATATAGAATAAATATCTTTATTTTAATAATAAATTTTGCAAGAAATTATTTAATAAATACAATAAATAAATCTATTATTTAACTTTAATTTAGTAAAAAATAATATAAATTAAGCTAAAATTAAAGATATTTATATATTACTCAACAGTGATGATTTATACGAAATCTGATACTCTTTGCAAAGATATTAATTCCAACTACGAAAATTTGGTTTAAAAATTAAGATTTACTCGATATTATTACTATCTGAAAATTTACGAAGAGGAACTTGTACACTCAGACTTTCATCCTGAAAATATTATATTTTAAGGCATTAGAAAATATTTGTGCTTTAAAAAATTATTCGCGATAAATATCAATTAAAAAATGCATTATTTTGATAAATTCTTAGTGAACTACTTTTTAGTAGCTTAATTAATTATATGATTACTAATTATATGAAATTTTGAGCAATGAAGTAAATCAATGTAAATTTTGATTAGAACGTATAAGAGATAAATTGATTAATCAATTTGTTTATTAAAAAGAATTCGAGTTGCACAATTACGCAAATTACCTGAATTTATATAAATAATTTCTCAAATGTCAATTTTTCTAATATTAATATAAAAATAAGTTCGAATGATACAGATGCATTTTCAATTTCATGAATTAAAATTCTATCAATTTGTTATGCTCTACAAATACCACATTTACATTTGTCTTGTTTCAGGAAACATGATATTTTTTTCATTGTTCATATTAATATTTAAAATATTATGATGCAAAGAAACCAGATCTTTAGTTATAAATCAAAATATATGAGTAATTTAAATAAATAATAAATTCTTAAAAAAAACAAAGTTCTAGAAATAAGTTTATAAATCTAATTTATAATAAAACTGAAAATAAATTAATTAGACAATATTTGAAATACTTCATAATCCGCAATGCTAAACTTTTTTGTTCCATTAGAACTCAACAGACCGAGTTCGTAGTTCTTTTTTGTACAATAATTATTATTATCATAATGATGAAATAAAACTAAATCACCAGCCCCAAAAACAGGACCATAATTTACGTAGCACCCCACACTTCGTCCCTGTTGATATTTGCTTAGAACTCCATTGACAGCTTGAATATCATCAGAATTAAACGCGAATAAAAAACTATTTAAAGATGAGTAGTCTTTGTTAAGCGAATTCCATTCAACCGGATTATAACCACCAATAATCTTTTCCTCATCTTTTACGCGAATGGCAACAACAGTTGGCCCTTTGTTATCACACAATCGATGAAAGTCGGTTTTCTTATATCCTTCACGACTCCCTCTCAATAACAGCTTCAATTCAATTGATTTAGTTTTCTGATTTTCATCTTCCCCTTTAATCCAATCAATTATTTTATAGACCTGATCCTGCGAAAGAATCGTAGAGTCGATAGTTAACTTGCTGCGAACTGGGTTTATCTTGCTGCGAACTACATGTAAGGTGGCTTGATGTTCTTCACTTCCCGGTACCAAATAATGATGTAATAAATCTTTATAAAGCGTTTCTGGCAAAATTTTAACATAGGGCATAACTTTGTTGTAGAAATCAACCGAATTGATATGGAAGAAACGAATCAATGGTAAACAATTTTTGATTGCAGATTTAAGTTGATCAAATTCATTATGTGTCCATTTTTCCACTGAACTCCCCATATTAACTTCGCCAAGATCTGCTGCTTTAGAGATTCCCCATTCAAGTACCTTCTCCCAAATTTCAACTTCATTTAAATTTAGATCATCACGTTTGAGCAAACAAACTAGAACTGATTCATGAAGCTTGGTAAAATCAGTTGACTGAAAAATAGCAGCTGGGTTTTGATATACGATGTCCGTGAAAAATTTATGAAGCTGAGTAAAAGAATTATGTTCGAATGCAATTTGATTGATTAAGGCAAAACGCTCTTTCAAAGCTTCAGAGTGGTGCTCGAGAAGGTAAATTTGTATATATTCAATCAGATCCACAAGAATCAATTCATCAACTGCAACTAATAAATCCAAAAGCGTCGTAACACTGAAGTTTTGTAAATTGATTTTTCCACTGTAAATATATCTATTAATCAGAAAATTTAGTAAGCTTTATTTGGTAACATTTGCTTTGTTTTTAACATGATATTACCTCAGCAATATTTCAAATACTCGAGGTTCGATATTCGGTTTCTTAAAAATAATCATCTTATTCGGTTCTCGCTTCACCCAAGCATCAGAAAGCGCTACTGCAAAATATTGCGACTGTGCCACCAAGATTGCTGAGTGGGCTGAAAAAGTACGTTGAGTATTCTGATTTTCACCAACAATAATCGAAATGTCACAATAGTTGGAATTTTCATAAAATTTATTGAACCTGCCGGCGTGTGAAGTCAATAAAAAATCGGGTGTCATTTTTATTTATTTAATTTTTTAATGATACGTAACTTTTATTTTTCTCAAATGTTTCGTACAGCTATCAAGGTGAGTACAGAATTTATCGTTGTATACATGTACACAATGTTTTTTATGGGACACAAACACGGAGATAAACTGTCCGGAACGGAGCAGTCTGCGTCCGGCATTATTTATGTCCTGGACGTTGATGTCCGTGTTTATTAATTCCAGCTAAGGATCTTTAGTATTAGCCAAGGTTGAGATCAACTTTGTCCGTACCCTGCAAAAACAGACGTGGACGCGAACTGTTCCGTCTCAGACTTTACGCTAAAAATCGTCGGACAACGTCCGTGTACAACACTGCATCTAAATGAAAACTGTCATATTTAGAAATATCGGACATTAACGTTAATATTGCATCATGTATTTCGTAATAATACATATTGTACATGTGTCAATAAATTACGATTACATGTACAGTACATATTAATATGGATTTGTAATGATTTAACGATCAACTAAATTTGGCTTTTAGTGTTGCATTTAATCACAATCATAACTATAATAAAAAGGACTGTGTATAGCAAAATTATAACTCGTTTAAAAATATTTATAGGAAAAATCGTTGTTTTAACCTAAAATTTTATCTTGATATTCATTCTTTTCATTTAGTGAAATTCTTTATCTGACACGTTTTAAAATATTTTTTTAAATCAAACATACAATCTTTTCAACATTGAAACTGGCTCGCCAGTGTCAACAAAAAGGATACGTTATATTGGGATGGTTAAGATTAAATTTGAATTTTGGCTGTACAATTTTTTCTTTCGACATCCTTTCCATTATTTGCAAATTCTTGTGATACTTAAAAATTTAATACAAATCTATAAGGGAGAAATTAGAAGTTTCCCACTCAATAATTTGTTTATTAGTTTAGGTGTATTATCATAGGTGTATTATCATCAAGGTTATTGTCATCATTGATGACAATCAAGATACGGAGATAAATCATTTATATGAGTGTTCCTATCACTAAATTACATTACGCGTACAGTCATGACTAATGCTCTACTACTTGACATCTTTAAATTATAAAAGATGTAAATTTTATGGGATGAAATTGCAAAATGCATATTATTTAAGTCAATACATAAGAAAATTTTCTTATCAATCTTTAAAGTGTAGGTCAAATAAAAGTTACATGTTTTAATGTTAAATTTACGCATTATTTTTACATTCATAATTACCAGTTATAAAAGGCATCTAAATCGTGACTTATATAACACACCACTTTAGCTTGTTAAAAACGACGAAGCAAAATATTGCAACCTTTGTTGTAGACTCCATAAATTCTAAATATTCCTGAGAACTCATTATAAACAAATAGCATACTCGTCCAGCTACAGTATTGGTTTTCCAAATAATACAATTTAGTCTTAATACTTCAAGAATAAAAATATAGAGCAATGCAATAACACCTCATCTGATATAGAAAAGTGGCATTCATATGTCGTACTATATCAGGTATTGGTATCAATTTATAATGTGTTTGGAAATGCCGGATCTGAATGTAAAAATGATACCTATCATACTCAGTTGACAAGGAAAAATAATAATTTTATTGAAGCTGCATGAAAAATGTGTCATAATTCGATAATAATATCACGTACAAAAGAAATAGAAAACCAAAATTTATCACAGTTTGGGAGACCATAAAATCTAAAAATCAAGAAAAAAAAATGCACATTTAAAGAAATCAAAAAGATAAACTGAGTCATTTTACAAGTTTGGCAATAAAAGTTTATCTGAAGATACCTAAAGGTAATTTCGTTCCTATTCATAATATAATATGTTCATTGTTTTTGAGAAACCATGATATTTCATCAAAATAACACTTGCTCCACACTGGAAAAGAAGTCACGAAAATAAGTTCAAATAGAGAATATCAACAATTAGCGTGTTCTCTAGATCTGCAAGTCATGATCAAGATTTGATGTGTTGGTTTTGAAGGAGGTTGTAAGCTCAATACCTTGAGAAATCAAAGTGATATTAAAGCTATGTGAAGGGCTAATGATGTGTTAATTAGTTGTATTCGAATGCTTATGAGATGACCTGCAAATTATGTTCAGTCAAAAATTTTATATTCAACTTATTTGAAAAAGTAAATAAATACAATAATTCATTGGATGGTCATAAAGAGGCATAAAACTGATAGAGAAATTTAACTGCACGAATTTTTGTTCAGCCCGAGAGAACAAATCCGTAAAAAAAAATAAACATCTAAATCCAAATTTGGTGTACTGTCAAAAAATACTGGAAAGACGAATTTACGTATTGCCATTTTTAATACATTTAGTTGCCGGCTTACATTTTATTCGTGAATTCTTATTGGTTGATTCTCATGTGATCAGGAATCATCTACTTCACAAATATACTTGATAATAACATAAACCTCTAAAAAAGACATTACATATTATATATTCTGACTATAAATAAGTTTGTTTAGTAACCAAGATGTATCGTAGATTATTGAAAAGACATAATTCTCCTTTGGTAACAATATTCAAGGCTATTTTTACAGAGCTATTTCCATATGTAGTATTGTTGCCGTCGTAACGAAAATCCCATGACTATTACATGCACATATATTTGCGTCTTTAATGTGTTACGAAAAACATTAGCGATAATCATACCGTATCATATGAACAAACCGAAATTTTGTGATGTTTTTTGTAATAATTTTTACTTTGTGATATCAACACCAACACTGCCTATGGAATTCCTTACTAACATTCCTACTAAAGAATGTGATAATTAGACATTATTACCAAATTCTTACCAAATTCACATTTTACATTGTACTTAATTATTTAGTTTATTCTTTCAATAATAATTACGGTTGATTTTCTTTGTTGACAATTGATTCTATTATTCTTTGCTACGAAGTATAGTCATGCCCATTTATCATACCTCTTACAAAATTCATGCTTTATATGTTAGGACTCGCGAATTCCCATAATAGTCTGCGATCTGTAAAGCAAATAGTTAACAATCAAATTGTATATAAAGGAAGATCTCGTGAGTCTGAGACAAATCGCTGTGTGATTTGAAAAAAAATAAATAAGAATTATATTTCAGCTTTTATTTTGTGTCTTGACAAAACTGATGCTATATTTCTTTTATGCTTAACTGAATTGAAGACCTTACTGCTATGGCCATACAAAGTGAATGAATTACGTTTGTTTTGACTCTTTGATATATTGGTTTGTTCCGTTGTTTGACTTTGATGTCGTTTTTCATCTTATTTTATTGTTTTCGGAACTTTTAAGGTTCGGAATAACTATTATTTGGAAATTAGTATAGTTATTTTGTTGTTATTGTTAAATATTTTTACACAGTGAAATGGATAGCGAAACCTGGATAAAATGAATTTTCATTTATAATAAAGTTTTCTAATGTACCGTGTAATTCATACTTTACCTTTATCCCTTTGAATAATTTACCCCTTTGATTGTTCAATCTCCGTGTAGATTGGCATTGGTGACCTTTTGAAGCCGCTTCATAAATCATTCTAGCTCTTGACCTACAATTTTTTAGACTAACTTCAGAATTTTGAAGTATTATTTGGCTCGGAGCGTGAATTCATTATTCGCCATCGATCTTTATTGAGATTGAAACAAATACTGATAAATGATCAAATTTTCCGAATTGTTTTTTATAGCAATCAATATCCTCAAGAATATATTAAATTTCTACATTTATTCTATTTAACAATATGTTATTTCAATTATCGCGACCAAATCTCAGTCCCAATAATGCTATGTTAGCAAAATTTGACTGCGTTAATTAATAATATTGTAAATAATTTCATAATCAAGTAAATCATAATATAAAACAAAATTCATTCATGCATTGCCATTAGCTTTATAACTTAAAATGAATTTATTTTGCAAATACCCAGCACATAGAAATTAGTACCGAGGAATGAGTATTAGATGCATTAGCTCAGGAGATTACGTAAATGCAAATTTATAAACAATAGCTGCCGATATTTATTAGTTTCAGAATACGGGTAAAACATGTATGAAGGAATAGAAAAAAAAATCAATTGTTTTAGCCTGTAAAATAGTCAAGACAAGTAATATACTGCAAGTTTTCGATTTTTATATTTAGGGATGTAATCATTCATTAAAAGAGATCAAATACGTAAATACGCGCGAAAAAAAGAATAAAATTGCCTAAATTAAAATAAATTTTAGTTACATGTACTAGATAACAAGAGTGTTGACTTACAGTTGAACTTTAAGAAAATATAATATCTATCATATGTATTAACGAAAAAGTTTTTTTTTTACTAACATTATATTTTAAGTGTTGCAAAAGATATACCATTGGTTAATAAGATAAATATTGTAACAAGTAGAATTTGACTTTATAAATAAATAACAAAATGCCAATTACTATCAATTCAATGTTTATATATCATCAAAATCATTTTATAGATGAATTACTATTTTTTGTATGCCTTAATGGCTGGTGCTCATTCTCTTTGATTTCATGCGATATATTAAATCAAAATTTATTTTAAAAATGAAAACAAATAATCCTTTAATAGTAAATTTAAATTTATGTATTTGACTGACTAAATTATATTCGAGTGTAATTTTTACATTTTTTGTAATTTCGAATATAAGACTCTCATTGATTTCTTCATGTGTTTTATGATATTTTAGAAATTGTAGTCTGAAAATACAAGTACTCAATTTACGTATTTTACATAATTGCTAGGATATTCCTTTGCAGTTGGCCTGTTTCTGGAAAATTTCATCGATAATAAATTTGCATTATTTGTTGTTCTCTTGATGATGCAGTTTATAAAATTTCTTATGATTATCGACCTTATAGCAATGCTAAACTATGCAAAATAAAATAGAAAACTGAATTTACTAAAATCTTTATAAGCCTCAAATACTTTGCCAAAGAGGTGATTGTGGATACTTTTTTCAAAGTTAAATCGATATGCTCCAAAATTAACATGATTTTTTACCTTAAAAATATTCTATTAAAAGTCTAATTATTTTCACCCTTATTTATTTGCATCTTTAATAAAATAATCCAAGAATAACACTGCGTTTCAAAAATAACGTCTTAATATATCAAAATTTATAAATCAGCAATTTTTTAAGTTTTAATGTAATACCTTATTTCTTTATTTTCAAATACTGAGGAAAAGTTTAATGACAAAATCACTTGAGCCATCAGTAAGCTTAAAATTCAAAAATGTAAAATTTAATATTATTACATTTCCATCACAATTCAGAAGTTAGTCTAAAAAATTGTAGGCACGACAATGGTCGAGAGCTAGAATGATTTATGAAGCGTTTCAAAAG